TGTTTACCGTGGGCACTTTCTCCTCTGATTTTGGCAGCTGGACTTGTCTCCTGTTGAGAAATCAGGCCCCATGAATGGCTGAGCCCCTCAATTTCCCTGAGCTTCCAAACATGCCTGCCTGTATCTGTTTCTTTTCCTTCTTTCTTCTATACGTAGAATTCTAAGAATCGGACCCCCGATGCACACACGCTTTACATATGGGCAGAGCCTACAAGTGTGGTGGGATGCCATTGTGACAATGAGATGACTCATGGGTCAAATGGAGTTTAATTAGAAGGGAGGCCTGGCCTAGTCAGGCGAGTCCAGGGAAGGGTCAGAGACCCTCACTGTGGGGATTCTTTGTGCTGTCAGTCAAGATAGCGGGACCACATATTGAGGGAGTTCCTAGGAGCTGGCAGCAACTCTGACCCACAGTGAGAAAATGGGGATCCCCATTCCTGTATCCACAAATAATTAATTATACCTGACAATTTGAATGAGCCTCTGGGGGAATCTGAAGCTCCAGCCGACAGCTCCACTCCAGCCTTGCAAAACCCTGAAGCCACGCCATGGCTTCTGCCCCAGAGAACCAGGCAATCATCAGCCAGTATGGGCTTAAGGTTAGGTGGTGGTTGTCTGTGGCATCACAGCAGAGAATGCCGCAGTCCTGAAATGTGTCGTCTTCTGCTATGGAGAGTGACAGCTAATGGACTGATCTGTTTCAAAGCATATACATTAAATCTTGCTCTAGAGTCTTCTAAACTTATCATTGAGTTAATACAAAGGGGTCTTGATTTTAGTATTTAATCTGGTGCATCAGGGGAGGTGCAGTGAGCAAAAGGCACTTTGCAGATATGTTGATCAGGGGAGAGGAGGAGGTTGCTATGGTTTCAATCAGCTACCATCTCCAGGCTGCCAAAGGCAGCCCCTTTCCGTCCTGTCAGAGGCAAATGTACGACAGTGTGCAGATGGACACTGAAGTAGACTTAAAGGTAAGGGTTGGTGGTAGTGTGTGTTTGTGTTTGGAACCTGTCTATGTGAGTCTCTCTCCTGCCATGGTGCCCTGCCAACCCACCACCTCTTTCTTTGAGGAGGAGGAATCCATGCAGCTCGGAGGGGTATCAGGAATATGGGCTCTGATTTCCAGCTCTGTCACTGGTGAGTTGGTACAGTATGTTGATGTTTTGTCATGCTTGCTGAGCCTGGCTAGCAGGTTTCTAGATCTTTCTCACTTCTTATTCTGGTTTTCTATTGGTGTGTTCTATGGCCTTAAGAAAGTCACTTTGGGGACCATAGAGTAAGGAAGGAGGCATTCATCCAACTCTAATGGTGTAGCAACAGTGATCCAGGTGCTGGGCAGGTTCCTGGGACACAAACCAAATGGCACCTCTCTCCACACTATGGAACAAGGCTCTGGCTTCTGAAGATCAGGCTGTTGGCTCCTGAAAGGACCACGAGTTTGAATGCTGACATGCATGGAGGTTGGTTTCCTAGGCGACCATGGTACACCACCGTTGCTGCCTTTTGGAGGTGACCTTAAGACCCAGGTCAAAGTTGTCCCTTCAAACGCAGGTTGCTGTGCTCACCCAAGTCTGGTAAGCACCACCCGTACCAAAAGCTCAGCCTGCCCACACTTTGGTATAGACTTTTCCAAATGTCTTTGGAGCCTGTCCCCAGGGCTTCACAGTGCAGACACCCCACTCTGCCTCTACAGCACATTGAATGGAGAGCTGTCTGGGAGATGGATTTCAAACAGAGTAAGTTTGAGACATGTGTAGTATCTGGAGACATTTTGGGTTGTCCCATCTGGGGGGAGGGGTAGATACTACCACCATCCAGTGGGTGGGGGCCAGGACACTGTCAAACTCAGCATCTCAGCAGCACAGAGAATGGATGCTCTGGTTCCAAATGTCCATAGGGTACATCAAAAGCAGGTCTGGTCGTGGAAAGCAGAGGTGCACCTGGCTGGTCCTGGGGAAGATAAGTTAAAGAACAAGGGATGTTTCCCTTCAGCAGCATTAGCTTCTGCAGCAGACCTCTCTGGTCTAAATGAGCAAAGCCAGGATGCAGGATGCCCTGGGCTGTGTTCCATCCGTGTGGAGCTCACAGATTGCTCATCAGCAGCTGGGTAGGACGTTTACTCATCACAGCCACCGATGTGGACTGGGCGCCACGCCATGTGCTGGCCAACACGTTTTCACGTAGATAATCTCATGTAATCCTCACGGTAGCATCTAAGGAGGCGATTGTGATTGTGTTGGAGAGGGAAATGGCTTCCTTCTGCCAGTCCGGGTTCTTTGGCTGGGCTACAAATTGAGTTGGCAGCAGACAGATGAACAAGAGAAAACCTGTTTTAATTATGCCCATACGTATGGGAGTCCCACAAACTATGAGATTGAAAGTTGGGTCAGATGCCAAGCTTCTCTGAGCCTCAGAGTGGGCATGGGGCTTGGGTTTCTGGGAGGTGGTGGGGACAATTTGGGGGCAAAGAGAAAGAAGGAGGGTGCATGGGAAAGGAGGCCCATCTTGTTCTGCAGATGAATCTCCCCATGTCCCACACCCTATCATTATGGCTACCCAGAGCATCCTCACGGAGGCCAGGACTTTGAATACTGCAGAGACTCAGATTTTCTTTAGAGATGTAAATTTCTTTTACAAAAGGACAGCTCTTCAAAGCCAGGCCTGAGAGTGCAGTTTCTCAGAATAACCAGCTTGGGGTATGCGCTGGTATATCTGGGGTGCTACTCTAGTCTCTCACAGCCATATATTGAGGAAGTGCATCTTGAGCCTCAACGTGTGTCTATCAGGTAGAAAAACAGGTTCAGGCAGTCAGATTCTTCTTATCACAGGGCACGTCTGATGCTGCACTTGGCCCTGGTAAAGCCGTGGCACAGCTCCGGTTACACAGCCAGGATCCGTTCTACCTGTCTTTGCTTGCAGCAGAAGCTGTGTCCTTGGGCCTTTCTGTCGTGTGTCAGATAGATGGAGTGCTGGTCAGTCTGTAACAGGGTGGCTGCCCTAGGTTGTGATGTTTGCCATTTCTTGTGGTAGAAACTCCACTATGACCACCACCCAGAGACTAACATGATGCCCTTGAACTCAAGCTGGGAAGTTATATATTCGTCTTTTACTGCTGTGGGGGCTGACCACAGCACACAACTGCAAAGAGGTCCAGCAGAGTGAGACCCCTACCCCTGGGCATCTCAGTTCCCATAGGTTGAGCATTGGGGGAGGGGGGATGGACATAGGTGAGTCAAAAAGAGAGGTACACCTGAGAGCTTGGCTGCCTAACTAGGAATCTCTGGCAGGCTTTGCCAGACCACCCTCCAGGAGAATGCTGACCCTTGGGCAGGGCTCCAGCCTTTTGATTTTGCTGACACTCTGCCTACTGATGGGATGGGCTGGCCACACAGATCCCTATGGATCTGGAAACCTGCTAGATGCCAGTGTGTGCCAGCAGACAGAAGAGGGATGTTTGACTGTCCCCTAAGGGTTCCTCTGGGATGTGCCCCCAAAGCCCCATGAGCCAGTGCTGGCCAGCAGCTGCTGGACCTATAGCGTCCCCTGGGCTCCCTGTCTTCCTGGGAGCAGAGCAGATGAAACTGGTCAGCATTTCTCCTGGAGGGTGGTCTGGCCAACTCTTCATGCCCAAGCATGAGCCCTTGGCATGAAGCTTGTGCCAGGCTACCCTACTGCCTGCTTATTAATTACTAGGACTTTCTGGCCACAGCTTTAACCTCCCTGGTTCAGCTCCCAGTAGTAGATTCTTTCTCAACCAACTCCCAGATTTGCCCCTCCACTCTCTCTCCCTGGCACCCCCATCTGGAGGTATTGATGTGTGCTTCGCAGGTCACCAGGGGGGCGGCACTGGCCGGCCCAGTGCCCTCACACATCTGTGCCTGCCATCCCCCTGTTCTCTCTTCCTACCCTTGGCTCTGTTTGGGATGTGGACGCTGTTCCTCTGAGAGCCCCTTGTTTAATCCACAGCTGCAGATCCAGGAGGCGATGTTGGTGGGTCCGTGGACTGTGGACATTCTGCAGCTCTCGTGGCACAAGAGCAGAAATGTCCCTCGGTCGCTGTCATCAGGGACACCGAAATTCCACAGTCATACAAACAGATTCTGGGAACAAATTTTAATGAATTCCGCTGAAACTTGTGCGGTAGTGATAAAATGTAATTGCTTACAATTTCACACCCACACCCGCCCCTGAGCTGCAGCCAGCTCTCTGGTAGGCAGTTTCATCTCCATGGAGTCACTGCGTCCTAAGGTACGTGAGCCTCGTGCAGGCTTGAGTGAGATGTGTGGTGAATTTTCATCAGGATACCAGGAGCAGTGGCAGGCAGCCCACCATTGAGAGTGAGTAGAGGGTAAGGGCCCCTTGGGAGCCGGCAGCAGGTCCTAGTGCACTTTTCACAGATTCTTCCAGAACATTCTGATTGTTTTTCCAGCTGCTCTGATACTTTTGACTTGCACATATTGACTCAGTAACTCAGTATTTTTTTGGGGGTTCACTCTGCACTTGACCTTAGCAGAGGGCTGGAAAGTGATTCTGGTCCACTGTGAACACTTCTTTGCAGGAGGCCAGAGTAAAAGTCAGTGGCAGGAAATGGAGGGATGCATTCACCTTGTATTGGAGTCCCTGTGGGAGGTCAGTTTACCCCAGGTAACTTGAGGCTGCACTTGGAACTTGAGCTTGTATGACCCAAGATACTGTTCTAGGGAATCGAATTTCCTGTTTTTGTGGGACCTCTAAGCTGAGCGTGTTCTCTACATGTTTTAATGTTTGGGAAAAATAAAAGCAGTCTAATCTTAGGCGGCATATGACTGCGCTATGAAATTCACATCTCACTGCTGAGAAATAAAACTGAAAGGAGCACAGCTATGATCAGTCAATTACACGTCACCCAGAACCACATAGTACCCTGAAGAGCTATGTCTATTATTTACATGCTGCCCACAAACCACACCCATTATTTAAATACTACCCCAGTCTGGCTCACCTGTTAAGCACCACCCATGATCCATGCCCACCTAATTTACATACTGGTCACATGCCCCCCTGCCTATTTACATGTTATCCCAGCCCCTCTCTTGCCACCTTGAAAAAGTTGAATCACTGCAGCAGAAGCCTGTGACCAGCAAAGACTGCGGTGTTTGTTCTCTGGCTTTTTGAGAAAATGTTTACTATTAACCCCTAGTACAAGAACAGCATTTCCCTGGGGGTAACCTTGGTCTCTTGGCCAGCCCAGAAGTCTTTTAATGCAGAGGTGATATTCATGAGTGAGGACCCCTCTGGCTTGGGACCTGTACCCTTTGGGGGGACCAGGGGTGGGGCTTGTTGTAGGAGAGGGCACAGTGACTGTGGGCCTCCAACCATGCACTGAGCGAGGTGGCAGCTTATTATTTGCCATTTGTCACTGTGCCTCTAACGTTCAGCAGAGTAAAAAATAGTTTGCCAATGAAGTAAAGTGGAAAATTAATTTGAGTTTCCTCCCTGTTGCAAGTAAAATACTGAAATTAAAAATGAAGGCTCTAATCACTGGTGTGTTTTTACCTTTGGCAGAATCATCCCTGTGTAAAAACTTGGGGGAAACTTGCTTATTTTACTTTGAAAATAATTCTTTTTGGCCAGTGGGCATGGTCTAATGAGAAGGGAAACATTCTCTTTTCTATGTGGCCTTACTCAAAGAACAAACCGAAGATGGTCCAGGGAAACAGAGGGGTGATTGTATAGAGATAGGCTACCCACTGTGAAGAATACATGTTACATACTGCAAACACACATCTTTAGACAGCCAGCTTCCTCTGAGCTGGCAGGCATGGAGGAAGTAAGACAAGGACTTGGACTTCAATTAAAACTTTTTGTTATTTTTCAGTGCTGAACATGGGACTGAGGGCCTTGGGTGTGCTAGGTAAGTGCTCTACCACTAAGCCACATCCCTAGGAAGGACCAGGACTCTAAAAGGCCAAATTCTGTGCAGTCCTCCATG